AGATGTTGTTTTCCTCTGATAACCGCACTCAACACCGATCGGTAAATATTCAAGATTCGGGGATGCGTATCAGGTAGACCACATACTGATCCGAGCTGTTTATTTAATACGAACTTCGGGAAAATACCGGTCGCCCTGCAACGTCGAAGAAACACGAGGGATTGTCGGGTAAGAATCAATTTTTGTCGTAATGATAATGCTTCCCTCAATAGGCGAAATACATTTGACGGTATATCTTGTAGCAATGTCCAAGTTCGCCTTTCTTGAAACCTTGGCATGTCCAGATAATTGAAAGTTTTTCTGTGCCAAACAGGTTTTTTATAGTGAAGCGTTTATTGCCGACGTTTCGACTAGCTCGTCGTCTTCAAGGCCTGAAGGAAGCATTTCGAAGATTCTCAAATGAAACTTATCCTAGTGAGTGAGCGTTGAGTAGGATAAGTTTCATTTGAGAATCTTCGAAATGCTTCCTTCAGGCCTTGAAGACGACGAGCTAGTCGAAACGTCGGCAATAAACGCTTCACTATAAAAAACCTGTTTGGCACAGAAAAACTTTCAATTATCTCGTAACTTCGTTCAGAGACGTTCGTCAAAACTGAAATCAGATTTGAGCTTGATCTGATTTGAGCCGCAAGACGCGTGCATCGGGATACACCTCATTTTAAATGGCCGGACCGACCAATGGACTACTCCTTGTTAGCTAAGTAAAACGAGGTTATTAGGTGGAGAATTTCATTGGAGACCTGACGTTTCGACGAGATCGTCTTCCTCAGAGGCCTAAACGTGACTTGAGGTTTAAGATTTGTCCTTTAACACGTTGGCGACAACGCATGTTTTGGGACCGGCGTGGTTTTGCGCCGCCGCCAAGTCCTTCAGACAAGTTTTGTGTGGTAAATGCATAAACATGATTGATACAAAGTTAGATTAGTATTTTTCAGTGCGTAGAAGCGCCCCAGAGATACAGTAGTGAAATTTTGATCGAAAGTCGGATGAAATAATAGTGAAAAAGCAAAATTTGTCAGAATCAGCTGCAATGAACGTCAAAAGCAATTTTGCATCGATTATTGCAATCAAAACACATATCTTGTCATCTTGAGGTTCCGTATCTTATACTACCCTTTAATATTCACATTCATGAAAAGAAAATGTAAACAAAAAATCAACTAGACTGACGATTTCGTTCGGTTCAGAAAACCTCCCCTAATTTGAAGCATACGTGACCATTCTAAGAGCGACTATGTTTGTATCTATGCTAAGGTTTTCTCTATGGAATGAATACAAGAAGCCTAAAAATGAATCACGTGTGCGAGGAAAAAATGAATGCATTGGGTGCAGGACACATACGTCCCGCGTTGTCCGTCATGGCCTGCAAAGTGCGGGACGTATGTGTCCTGCGCTGTCGTCAACGTGTTAAACCGCCAAACGCCGCTTCTTCTTAGCGTTTCTGACGGAGCGTTAGGGAGAACAAGCGAAAATCCCCGAACGAGGGAAATAGACTCACCCAGTCCACCACCGCAAGAGCAGAACAACGCCACTCCGGGTTAGTTATGGTTAGTAACTGAGGCTTACTGTGCAGTCTTTGTATAAAGGCTATAGTTCAGACCTGCACGTCTCAGTGTTTACGTCAGTAGCTCACAATGTGGTGCAAAACGGCAGAAAATCATTTGTGGAGGATAGACGCTCATCGCGGTTATTCATTCTGGGATTCCTTGCTTCAGCGCTTGAAGCATTCTTGATTGTGAATCCAGAATGCTTCAAGCGCTTTCCGAGCAGATATTTCAGTCTCGTATGCCAGAATTATGCACCTCACATCAAAGTCAGTTCCGTGGTGCTCTTCAGCTATATGCTTGCTAGACTCCTTTTAATTTCCCCTATGTACAGTAGCGGTCAAAAGTTTGGAAACTTTTTTATTTTTGATCTAGCGCGGCCGACATAACGAAATTGCCTCAAATTTAGATACATACAAAATCAAGTCCAGAATACGACGGGAGCAAAAATTTCCAAAATTCACAATCATATCCGAGAAATA